TTATCAACAAAGAATACACAAGCATAATAAATTCAAACACAATGAAAGCATCATATGTTTACAGTAGACGTGCTGTCAGAGCCAAAAAAAAAAAAAAAAAGTCAGAAGCCATATCATGTGGCTCCCCTTTTCATTATTGGCCTTCCACATTTCAAAGTGACACCACAACAAAACCCACCCCCATCATGTGTGTTTTTATGTTTCCTCAAAAAACAGAATTAATGACAAGACGAAGCGTCCCCTCCGGAGTCTGTGTGCTCTCATTTCTGCCATCCTGCCATCCTCTTGATCTCCACATCAGCAGAATTCCCTCTGAGAGCACGCTGGGCAGAAGGGGGGAAGGAGATGGATGAAACAGAGGCAACAAATTTTCATTGATTTCTCTAAAACCGTAGCGGCCCATATGAAAGGTTCAAGTAAACATTTTTACTGTGTCAGATCTTGGCACACTTGAAAAGGTTGAGGTAGCTGAAAAAAGACTTTTTTCCCCCCTTCACAGTTCTCATCACCAGATTAGACCTTCTGTTGCTCATGAAGCATGTCAGATCCACATGAATGGCCCGGCCCTTTGAATTCTGCCTCCAGAATGTGTTAACAGCTCTCTTCCATATTTCAAACGGTCTCGCCTGATGGCTGCAGCTCTGGATGTCAGAGTGAGTTATGATGTCACACTCTGAAACAGAGATCCCCACAAGATATATCTGATTTACTTCTGTCACTCAGACAATTGAACATCTGCCATATGAATATTAATGAAAGCTTCAATGAGTTGTATAGTAAAAGCATTGTCATCGGTGTAATTGGCAGCACTCTTTCTATTACTTCTGCTTGTATGAATCTGATTCCAAATTGCTGCTTGTAAAAGCAAAATGAGTCATCATTTCAGTCTCAGGCTGCATAATTTCTTCACACTGTGAAAATGATACATAATGGACACATTGCATTTATCATAAATAGAGGAGAATGAAGAATAAATGGGAGAGCACAAATGGAAAAATGACGTAAACCAAGAGGATTATAAAACACGCTTTGACCTGGTGTACCTATGGAAAGGGAGGGCATTTTTAACCTCAGGGAACTACTGTATGATTGGATATGAATTCTCAACATCCATTTCACCCTTTCAGCAGAGGAATAGGCTTGAGAATAGCTTTTGGCTATGACAATATACTTGTATAATGAGCTTCAGTGTTGAGCATCATCATTTCATGAAAGCCCAAAGAGACAGTGCTGTGCCTGTATTACATATGCATAGATGTTTTACGCCTTCAGAATTGTCCAGAAATCGTCCAAACAGGAAGGCAATTTTCAACCAGCCGACTGCAAATGAAAACCATGTATTTTTACAATACATCTGTAGACAATAAAAGCATTCGAGCCACGTCTGAGTGCAAAGTAGGAGGTGAAAATGAGTTTTTCTTAGGATAGTGCAAATGGATTAACCTTATTGTGTTTTGTTGCACAGAAAAAAAAACACATTTAAATGTTGAGTTTCAGTGTTCATTCTTGGCCTTGTAGTCATGCTGGAGATTTTAGTTATATAACATTAGCTTTATCAGATGAGCTCTGCTCAGTCGTCATTGAAATGTAAAGTAGATATTCTGTTTTTTTCTAAGTAATTTTCACGGCTTTTTACTTTAAAGCCAACATGAATAAGACATTTGTAAAGCAAAAATGAAGGTTTAAACATCTAAATTTCCAATGCGACTCTGCAGACTATTTGACAATTGGCAGAAGTGCTGAGTGAATGGTTTGATAGGAATTAAAATGTTACGGCCAGTGGCCGCAGGACATGTGGTGGGACCCAAAACGAGAAGGGAGACGGGTTTAAAGGGAAGAACAGGTTTATTTAAGGGAAACCGGGGGGTGTGGCGCACCAGGAGGCTGTGCAGGAGGGTGATTTCCCGTGCAAGTGCTCATGTAGGGATTTCCCGTACAGGTGCTTGTGTAGAGAGAAGATTTGACTCGTGTTTCCACAGAGGGGAAAGGCTGGCGTGGAGGGCAGACGGCTGGATGCTACGACCGGTGGAGGGAACGCTGGAGAAAGAGAGAAGACAACAGTTACTCGTGACTCGAGATAGCTTAGCGAGAAGCACATGTACTAGAAACGACATGTAAGCGGCCTGAATGTACCACTCGTGGAGTTGGCAATTGTCTGGCACAGGAGTCCAAGTGAACCGAGGCTTTAACCCGTCCGCTGATGAGGCAATGAGCCGCAGCTGTGCCAGCAGGGAAACGTCCTCCTCAGACCAGCCCCGCCCAACCTGAAAATGAGAAGCACAGCCAGCCGAACACACAGCGAAAAACAGCAGGGATCCAAAAACACACAGTGAACACGTCCATAATCACCACATAAAAATGATATAAATTATATAAATCTTTTGCAATCACCAGATCTCAACTCAGTGAACACCTGTGAGAGATTCTGGGCGAAGGTGTTGGGCACATTTGTGTCCCTGTGCAGCTGTTCTTGTAGTTTGTGGTGGTCAAAACTGTGACTCGTTTCAAAATCGTTTAGTTTTTCGCCCATGTGTTTGCTGAAAGCTCTGTCTTACGAAAATGATGTTCCTATACAGCGACTGGAGAACCGGACTTTGCCCTGTAATGAAAAGACATTTTCTGTTACTTAACAGTAAGGAACATCTTCTGTATTAAAAAAGTGACTCCAAACCAAAAAAAAGCCTAGAAATGTTCTATTTTTGATGATTTATCTAGAAAATAGCAGCACATTTTTATTGATAAATGGCTTGATTTTTACTTAATGCTCTTAAAAATGAACATACTAAATTATTTAATGCTGTAGCTACAGTATAAAACCTGCAAATCAAATAAATACATAACATATTAGGAAATGTGCTTGGAGGTCAAGACCATGTATTTAAAAAAATAGACATTTGTGTGAATTTATGATTCACACACTTCTTTTTTTATTTTTTTAAAGGGGCAGTTTCTGTCAGTACTGTGCCTACAGCAATAAAACCGATAATTTCTGTTGGTTAATGATACACTTACAATGATAACAACTGTTGTTTAAAAAAAATTCTTTTGTGGCAAAATTTTTTAATGAACTTATATAGCTTTCACATTTTTCCAGAAATGTGATATATATGTGCCTTCTCTTTTAACATTCCAAGCATAGACAAAGACATGAAAAACTATTACATCAACTGATAATAATGCAACTCTAAAATGTAATTGTACCAAAATATGTCAAAATATACAGTCATACAGTTAAACTTACCCAACCTTAAGCAAGTAGCTACCTTAGCTGGATATTTTACTATACATTGTCACATGGTTTTAGTGCCTAAATCTACCCAAATAGCAAGTGAAAGTAAATGTATGTAAGTGAACAAATACATTCACACATTTAGCGGTCTCCAAGGGCCTCATGTACAAAGAGTGCTTTTCCACGCTCACGTTCAGCTGCAAATTGACGTGGTTGGTAGCACTGTTGCCTCGCAGCAAGAAGTTCGCCGGTTGGCGTCCTGCGTGGAGTTTGCATGTTCTTATGTCAGGCTTCTGACAGGTGAGAACCATAGGGAGTCAAGGGTTCAGATCAGATAGAGAGTAGTGATCGATGTTGATTATAAATGGGCAATTGGATGTGTTTAGTAAGGAGGATATGTTTGGAGGTTTTGAGGATTAGTATGAAATTGTAATATTTGTTTGGGTGATTTTTCATTTTAGTTCTGTGATGACAGTTATAGTGGGAAAGTTGTGTAGTTTATATAAAGAGGTTTT